ACAGCAGAGCCTCAGAAGCGCGGGACCCCGCCCGGTGCCCCTGGTCTGCTGGAGATGGTCTCCAGCAGAGCAGGGGCACCGGAGCAGCTTACGAACGGGGCTTTCTCGCCCCGGAGCTCGCAGATAGCAATCCGCCACCTCGACCTCCGGGGCGAGAAAGCCCTGTTCGTAAGTGCGGATCCGACATAAGTCGGATCCGCGTAAGTCAGGGACTGCCTGTATTTCAGTGTAGTAAGAGTCCCAGTTACATGAGAGTAAGCTGAACTTTTCTGGTGGTAGGATCTTCCCAATAAAGGGTGTGCTCACACCAGAGCTACATTCTAATGACAATCACGGCAAGCCTTTGACAAACATTTAGAAATCCCATATCCAACACACAGCTGCCTCTTTAATAGGTGCTATAAAAATGTGTAAAAACCATTCAATTATTGTTAAAAGTAGTTCTATTTCAGTGTCCGTAAGAGCTGTTATGGCATACAAGCTAGTAAAAGATGTATTTACCTTCAGTACCTGTAAAGAAAACATCAATTTTTTCCTCCAAATCCCAGGGAGCCATCAGGTATCCAGAGTTCCTTGCTGGACAGCAGGAACAGTTTGGTAGTGAGACTGAACTCAGCTGCAATTGTATCACTGATCTATGGTAAACAGAAATATCAGTTTTTACTGCAGAGTTGAGTGAATCAATCACTCAGTACTCTGTTCATCTCAAATCTTAATATAAAATACGTGCACGGCTGCTGTACAGGGCCTATTGGATGGGATAAAATAATCACTGAAGAGCAGTACGAGTTCTACACCTGGTCCCATGAATGATACTATGTCATGAACTGTGTAGCTTGAAAACATCTTTCAAGCCCCAACTCCTTCCTTCTGTGGTGTCCAGCACCATGCTGGTCAATGCCTATCAAGTGGTTCACATGCAGAACTGGATGTGGTGGCACCACATCTAGGCCAAGAGCGCTGAGATCAGTGAAGCTAGATTGATTACACCAACTCTTTTCACATGTACCAAACAATCAATAAATGACTTTGGGACATATTTAAATTAATGACCTAAACTCCATGCACCACATCCCAAACACCTGAGTTTTGTTCCTCCACATAATAAATTAATTCAGGAAAAAAGCCAAACCCTGCTGCTGTAACCTTAAGATTGCATATTTGCACAAGTCTGAAAACAATCACAATTATTTCTACAGCAACCCTAACCCCTTAAGTCATCAAAGGGAGTGTTAACTTCCTCTATGTACTAAATATGGCTGAGTAATGATTAGCTTGCAATAGATTATGGCACTTTTTTCATTACTTGGCATTTAATGAGTCCTATTTACATTGATACAGATTTTTTTTTCAAATTAGGCATAAAAATTCTTATTTAAGCTAAGGATATCAAGAAATTTACTAGTCAAATAGTTGATAGGCACTTCCACATTCCTCCTTTGATATGTACAAGAGCCCCCACTGGAGCCCCCGCATTTGCTTATCGGATAGTTGACTAGTCCTTAACATCCTTAATTTAAGCACCTAAGTTGCTGGCCTAATATTTTAAAAAGCTAAACACACTGCCACTCCCATTGAAATCAAGAGGTACTGCTTTTTATATCGTGCACTAATGTAAATGCCTACTTATTGATTTACAATCCTATCTTTAGGAGTTTTGAAAATTATGGCAACACTGCAGTTCAATTAGAAGACAAGTACTCAGTTTTGCAATCCCCTCGCTCAACCTGCTACCTGGGTACTCCTCCTTCCAACAGAAAGAGCGTATACTTAAGACATCCTATAGTATAAAAGAAGTAATTCATGGGACACTATATTCATTTATACCACTTAATTATTTTTATAAGCACAGGCATATGCTGATTCAAACAGGCACATGTCTGTGGCAAATCTGTACAAACTGTCAAGTATATAGGCCTGATTTCCCACTCCATTGCACCAGCATCACTTCAGTGTATTGCCATAAAATGTAGCTGAGTCGCAGTTGTTTTTTTTAAAGTTGGTTTTAGTGCTGTTCAGTCAGCTCAGTTGTTAATATCCATGAGCATGGTGTAAAAATTATGGGGAAGCAGTTATGCCACAGGTTATAATGAAGTGCAAAAGAAGTAAATGAAAAATTACTTTACTCATGGCACAATGTGAGATTCACCAGAGAAACATGGCTCTATAGCAATGTAATGCACTAAAAGAGAGGTAAGGCATTTAAATAGGTAACCTTAAATAAAAATGCTATACCTGTTGGAACCTGATAGTGACTGGTTCCCATAGGTTACTGATGATAGGAAGGGTATATTCCTGGTTGAGTGCAGCAGTATATGGGATATGTTTTACTGTGTAAGTACCAGAATAATCTTGTATCTTGCAATTTTAAAAAAATCCACAGTATGAGAGCACAAACTTTTCTCCATAGTTTCTGAACAAACCAGTGCTTCATTTCAAAATATAGGGCACTGCCAATACCTTTATTGTAATCCTTTAGTCTAAACACTATAGCTGTGTCTACATTGGCGCGATCTTGCGCCAAAGCAGCCGCTCTTGTGCTGATTTTTAAATATTTTTCTCAGGGAAGCAGGATGGTTCAGTGAAGAGGACTCAGACCTAGGTGTCACGAAGACTGAGTTCTATTCTGAGCTTTGTAACTGATTTACGCATTGAAGGGCTCATCCTATATAATTTCTCCTTTTCCATAATTTTCCATTCTTAGCCAATTCAACCATAGGCTCAAAACCTGCACTGTAATCCAGCACAGATTACAATGTAGAATGTAGATCATGATTTATCTGCTTTGTACTTCCCCTATCACAGTAACATGAGATTTCTCTGACACTGATTCTCTCTGGACAAGGCCCTTAATGCTGTCTTGTCTTAGGCAAACCTTTCTCTTCCCCCCCATCTGTTTACTGGGAATAGTAATAGCTATAGCCCTTAACAGGCAGTGGTGAGCATTCATTATGCAAAAGTAAATCAGCTGGAAACCATTAAATTTACATGTGATCGAATTGGTGTGAATAGTCTCTGGCTGATTTTATAGAATACACCTCAGGGACATCTTTCATCTGAATGGAAGTAAGTACTGCATATTGCACACTCCCCAAATGGGAACTCACAGCTAAGTGAGATAAAGCACCACTGCTGCATAGGCTGGTGGAAAGCTGGTTCACTCTCTAACAGGTGGTGCCCAAAGGTGAGGTCAGGAAGGTCAGCAGATAACACCACTGCTGTCAGAGAAGTACCTGTAGAAGCAAAAGGTGAGTGATATCCTGGAGGTATCAGCATGTATAAGCGCACAGTGACAGAGGCAATGAGACGACACACAAATCTCCCCCATCGCTGAAGCAAGTGGCTTCAGTTTCTTTTTTCCCTGTTTGTTGAAACATTTTCTGTATTATAAAACAGCTCCCTTCTGGTGTAAATAGATGGCGCTCCTGATGTTTGTCAGATGATATTATGAGTGGCCAGGGCATGTCTGGCCTTTGTTGGACATTCTAGTGATTCCTACATCAGAAGGTCTGGGGTCATGGCCGGTTATTCTCAGGAAAGTGGAGCCCTATCTTCCATGTGTATGTTTTCTTTTTAAAAATTTCCCAGCACCTGGGCCTCTGGCTATGTTGTATCACCTGTCTGGCAGCTCTACCTAGATGCAGTCATTGTTCAAATGACTGAGCATTGTGCATCTGTCAATGATCAGACCCCCTGAATTTAGGGACTGCTGAAAGGGTATCATATTTCCATAGCCTAAAGGTACACAGGAGCCTTCCAATAATACATGAGGCCTGTTGTCCATAGGTCCAAGTTCTGCCTTTGCTTGCATCAATGTAGCAATTAAAGACAAGTGCTTTTGCAATGATGCATACTTGGCCATGTGTGTCAATGGAGCCGCCACAAGCAGGCAGCAGTTCAGACATAGAAGAGAGTCTATGCTATGTCTGAACTATGCTGAGGGGAACGGAGGCACCCATCTGTCGCCCTGACAGTTCATCTCGAGAGGTATGCGGTCTGCCAGGGGCCCGTATCCGAGATGTTACGGAGGCATTGTCGAGGATTATCCGGCCCTCTGACTACTCATCCACATGGGCACAAATGATACTGCCAGGTGTGACACTGAGCGGATCAAGTGTGACTACAGGGCTTTGGGAGTATGGGTGAAGGAGTTTGGAGCGCAGGTGGTATTCTCTTCGATCCTTCCTGTCAAAGGCAGGGGCCCGGGCGGAGAGAGGTGCATCCTGGAGGTGAATGCCTGGCTGCGAAGATGGTGGCGCCAGGAGGAATTCGGCTTCCTTGATCACGGGGTGCTCTTTCAGGAAGGACTGCTTGGCGGAGTTGGAGTTCACCTTTCCAGGAGCGGGAAGGCCTTGTTTGGACACAGACTGGCTAACCTTGTGAGGAGGGCTTTAAACTAGGTTTGACGGGGACAGGTGAGCAAAGCCCATAGTGCTGAATGTGCGGGACTGGGAGATGGGTTGGAAATGGGGGAGACTACGGCCTATAATGGCAAGGAGAAAGGAGGGTCAGGGCACAACAGGGCTGAGTTTGGAAGCAGAGAGAGCAGGGGACACTGCCCCCCTAGTCTTTTAAAAGAAGAATGAACAGTTCTTCCCTGTTCATGTTTTTGTTTCTTCAACAGGGAAGAGTGGGCAGGTCTAAGACAAACATGCTGAGCACATTCTGTCAGGAAGGACAGACAGGGAAAAAAGGGAGGAGGGGTTGCCTTGTATATTAAAAATGTACACACTTGGACTGAAGTGGAGATGAACGTAGGAGATAGCTGTGTAGAGAGTCTCTGGGTTAAGCTAAAAGGGGTAAAAAACGAGGGTGATATCATGCTAGGAGTCTACTACAGGCCACCTAGCCAGGTGGAAGAGGTGGATGAGGCCTTTTTTAAACAATTAACAAAACTATCCAAAGCCCAAGATTTGGTGGTGATGGGGGACTTCAACTATCCAGACATATGTTGGGAAACTAACACAGCGAGGCACAGGCTATCCAATAAGTTTCTGGACTGCATTGGAGACAACTTTCTGTTTCAGAAGGTTGAAAAAGCTACCAGAGGAGAAGCTGTTCTGGATTTGGTTTTAACAAATAGGGAGGAACTAGTTGAGAACTTGAAAGTGGAAGACAGTATAGGGGACAGTGATCATGAAATAATAGAGTTCATGATCTTAAGGAAAGGTAGAAGGGAGACCAGCACAATTGAGGTTATGGATTTCAGGAAGGCAGATTTTGATAAGCTCAGAGAACTTGTAGGTAAGGTCCCATGGGAAGCAAGACTGAAGGGAAAAACAACTGAGGAGAGTTGGAAGTATTTCAAAGGGACGTTGTTAAGGGCCCAAAAGCAAACAATTCCGCTGTGTAGGAAAGATAGAAAATATGGCAAAAGACCAGCTTGGCTTAACAAGGAGATCTTGCATGATCTCAAAATAAAAAAGGAGTCATATAAAAAATGGAAACTAGGACAACTAACAAAGGATGAATATAGGCAAGCAACACGGGAATGCAGGGGCAAGATTAGAAAGGCAAAGGCACAAAATGAGATCAAACTAGCTACAGGCATAAAGGGAAACAAGAAGACCTTTTATAAATACATTAAAAGCAAGAGGAAGACCAAGGACAGGGTAGGCCCACTGCTTAGTGAGGA